ACTGCTTTATGTTTCCTCTTCAGAAAAAATGCTGTTCCATTACTAAGTAAAATGATATTTATCTGTCAAATAAATGAAAGTGAAAGCAAATATTGTAGTAACGTTCACCAACTTGTCCACATCTGTCAACTCCTCGTAATAAAAAGAACTTCACATTTTACAAGGCATACATGTCATTTTGTGGTTTATTTGCTTCAAGAAACTTTCTTCCATGAAGAACAGTCCTTCTGCTCACAGATACAGTAGTACATATAAATACTCACAATAGAAAGTTGGTTCCCATATTCTAATTCCCAGATGTAGCTCCCAAAAGCAAGGGGCACCACATGTGCAAAGCATACAAATACCTATAGACAAGCACTACAGGTGGCTCTGAAGTTTTTTCTTTTGGGTATTTCTAACCAAATTCCAATGTGGTAGAAGGTGAAAATGTCCTTCATTTAAACACTAAGTTCACTGATAAACTGATGCCTAAAGTAGTACGAGTCCCCAGGAGATTAAATAGGGAAGGAAGAAATATTTTTCCCACAATACATCCGCTAAACCTTGGTTTACTGTTAGAACTATGCCTGCTGATAAATTCCACATGAAATCAAATTTTGGTTTTTTTACTATATAGATACCACCAGACTTCATTTCTTGATGGATAGGTGAAAGCACAAAGAACTAAACTTAGGGACATCATGAAATACTGGCTTGAAAAAAAGAAGTATTTGAGAAAGTCTGCAGTTTATTTCAGTTTAAAAGAAAAAAGTTAGGCTAACTTTTAGCATTCACAGGCTTATCAGATATGACTTGAAGGATGTGTACAAACAAAACCAAGTAACAAAATTAAGACTCGAACTTCAAAAATGTTCAGAAGAAACAAAGTCCCCAAAGGAAAGGCTTCACGCTTTCCTACTACAAAAACAGGCTTGTAACTTGGAAGTGATCAGAACAGAAATCCCTTTAATGCTCTATGTGTTTTTAGCTCAACTCACAGTGGCATTTCAGATGTTTGTGATGGAAACATCCCTGAGGCTAGCAACACGAGATATTTTGCTTCGGACTAAATGCACCTTAACATAATGTTCTAGTTTCAGGCCAGCTGGGTCAGAGTAATACTTAGTGCAATCAATCAGCCATTAAAACATGGTACTCTTAGGAGCAGCTCTGCCAACCGAGTCAGCGTCAAATAAATAGAAAAGTAGCTAAGTATTTTAATCTACTCCAAGGACCTTTTATGGTCAAGCATATGGAGACAGGATAGCTCAGGCACAGAAAAACAAATACGACTTGTGATGGGCCCTTAAAAACTTTCTGCTCCTTTCTGAACAAGTTATTTCAGATGATTCAGACAAACACAACCCACCGTTTCGGTGGGAGAGTATTAAGTCACTTGCCTTTACAGGCTCAAATCTCTGCCAATAGGAAAAAAATTATTTTCATATGAGGTGCTTTAGCCTAGGAACTACATTCTTATGGGCTTGCTCCCCACACAATTACCTGAATTATGAGGGGGGTGGAAGAGAGAGAGAAAAAAAAATACCTAACACATTTCAAGAAGCATCAAAAAGTGACAAAATCATAGAACTGATCATCATTAAGAAGAAATTTTTCACTGTGCGGGTGGTGAGGCAGTGGCCCAGGTTGCCCAGAGAAGCTGTGGATGCCCCATCCCTGGAGGGGTTCAAGGCCAGGCTGGATGAGGCTTTGAGCAACCTGGGCTAGTGGGAGGTGTCCCTGCCTATGGCAGGGGGTTGGAACTCGATGATCTTTAAGGCTCCTTCCAACCCAAACCATTCTGTGATTCTATGATTCTATCTATGAACGTAAGAGATACTGCTCATTAAATTTCCTTTGCAAAGGAGATGTGGAGGCACAAGAAAGGTCTTAGAAAAGAGGCCTCTGATGAAACAGAAAAATGGAAAATAAAGGGCAAGAAAAAAGGGAATGGACTTTAAAGTCAATGCTAAGAAGATATTTATATTATTATGGTGGATACCAAGCAAACGCTGCTGCTCACAATTACCATTTCAACACTGAAAATTTGAGGGAAGTAGGAATGCTTGTAATTCCTTTATGTAACTTCCCAGATTTCAGCTGTTCTAACTGCAGCATATGGACAGTTTCCCTTCAAACCCCTCTAGAAAGGTTTTTTAAAATTGGTTTGTTTCAGTTTTTTTAAATCAACTCAGGCAGAACACTAAACCATTTTCTTCAAGAGTTTCAGCTTCAGTGAGAATGCTTTTGCAGGGCCATAACTTTAAGGATGGCAATGCAGGGCATGCAAAAATGTAACTGTTTAAGCAGGGTTATCAATGGGAAGATGACTTTACGCTGAGACAAAGTCCTAAAGAGTTTAAATTAATACAAATTGTCAATGGAAGTGTTTATACCTCTGAAGCAACCCAGGCAGTGTTAAGCATGTATCCCTTGATATTAAAATAATGTCATAAACATAACTACTATACATTAACAGAACCAGAATATAAGCTTCCAACAAAATAAGAGACAAACCGCTATAACAATGATTAGAACTGAACTTCCAGTTCAGTGATCATAGTCACAGACATCTTCAGACAAAACCCAGAATAAGATAAACCCTAAAATGTTTGCCTGTAATACAACTTTCTTATCACAAGCTTTTATAAGAAACTTTCAATTTCCTGACAGAGAACATTCAGGTTTCAACAGAAGGCAAAAAAATTTAGTTCAGCAGCTGAAAAGTACAATAGTTCTAGAGTGCAGAGACACCTCACCAAAAATGCGATAAGTAACCACTTAGCTTTGATTCTATTTTTCCTTGCACAGTTCTGCAAATGTGATGGAAATCAACCAGTTTATGCCAGAATTTAATGCCAAATGTTGTAGTGTGTTATAATCATTATTTACATACTGGTATTGCAATAGGGAACTAATGCATTTCACATTATTGTAAGAGGAAAAATCAGTTCATAAAGAATAAGGAGGGGCAGACACTAGAAACTCAAGTTACTTAGCTAGAATTCTCCAAAGCACTTGAACAGTTGATATTAGAAGTAGACTATCAAATTATAGAATAAAAGTATATGACTGCCTTTATGAGGCAATTACTACCCCTGCCCCAAGAGATTTACACTAAATAGTTTCTAATAATGCATTTCTTATCCAGCAAGCCAGAGCCACACATTAGAAGTAGGAGACACTATGCCAACAAGGAAATACAGATGAACATACATGATCTGTGGAGACAACTGCTTTCAGAACGCTCCATTTACTTTGTAAGCATTATTGCAATAAAAGTGGAAAGGATGTGAAAGTAATTAATTGACATACGTCATATTTAAGGCACTTCAACCTCTCAGCAGTGTAGGATTAACAACTCTATGCCTATTAAAGTACTTAATATTACTTATGTTACAGTAGTGCCCAGAGGCCCCAAGACTGAGGCCTCTCTTGAGTGGAGTATTAGAAAATCATTATCACATTGACTCACAAAGAATTCCCTTTCAAATTATTAAAAAAAAAAAAAGAAGTATGTTTTGTTTAAGCCAAGTTGCTACCTCTTTAAGCTTTACTACAGTTTTTGCTGTTTAGCTCATCTTTATTTTTAAAGTCAAAAAGAAGTACAAGCACACCACATATTTTTAAACAGAAAGACAGAAGCATAGCTCTGAAACACACTCCTCCCTGCCTTAGAGGCCATTGGGTCTAGACACACAGATGTTCCTTAATTTATCAGCACCTGTATAAAGAGGTCTGTAAAACTAGATTGCTGTCCCTCCACCCTCTAGAGAACAAAATCCCAAATCAAACCCTAGCATTACCAGGTCTGTGGGAATTCTGAATCTAACCAGCAAAATTATCTGGGAAAAATTAGTAGGCTCTCAAAATTCTCACTGAGATCAAACTATTGAGTGTTAAAGTTCACATGGAACAGGCAAAATCTGCATAAACTTCTTAGAGGCATTACTGAAACAGATGGTTCAATAATACAAGTTTCCAAACAAATAATTGTACATACAAATGTTAGTCCAATCTGCTGTTGTAGAAATCAATGTCTTTTTCAAATTTTTTTCTGACACAAGTATTTTTTCCAAACTTCAAAAGCTGTCATATCGTGCATAATTAACTTTTGGTTTTTATTAACTGGCCCACCGAGACTATTCATTATATTTTACTTGTAAGACGTGTTGGATGAGAGTCAGCACAACTTTATGCAGAGAGTCTAAAAAAAATTTAAATTCTAATTTCAAAAAATCATCAGGAAACCATTAGTACCAAACAAAACACAAACATCCCTCAGATTACTCTGCACAACTCAGTAAAGCTAGTTACTCAGTTGTTGCATTTTCATCTGTTATGAGATAAAACATACAACATGATCAATGATTCAACAGTCCAGTGCATATTGGCACAGCAACCACAAGCCTGCTGGAGTTCAGAAGTAATATACCTGGACTTCTGCAGTAGAAGGACACTACCATCAATCCCCTGCCCAACCAGTTTTCCCCTGACCTGTCTTATGCGTATTTTACAAAAAGTTTTGGTCCGTTGCAGAGCAATCCTGAACAATTTAATCAGTTCCTTAATTTCAACAGTTTAACATTGAGGTTGAATAATCTGTTCCAACAAATCATCTCTGGAATTCATATGCTCCTAAATGCTCAATCAAGAACAGATTTGCAGTGAGATTCCCTATCTTCCTGCCTCACAGAAGGATCTTACCAGATTGTAAAGCTTCACTTTTTATTCTCTTAAAGAAGAAACTACTCGACTGGAGGTATGAGACCCCAGGCTCTACCTTCACTCAAGAAAAACAGGAAATCTAAAGCACAGTACATCAATTCTGCTATTCTTCTAGAATTAACAGTATGCCCATAAATGAAATGAAAATTTTAAAAAACAAACACTTGGGACTTTCCTTTTACAATTCACCTCATTTTGTTACATAACTCAGAATTGTTTGTTAGGATCTATAAGCAAATTTTACAACTGAAAATCAATCCGAAAAAAGTGAACTTTAATAAGTTACTTACTGTAAATGTGCTACTTTTACTGATACAGGAATGTGGGGAAGTTGAGTGGCCCATTTCAGTGTAACATCTTGATAAACATTCAACATTTTACTGTGGTTTCCAAGTAGAGTGTTTATTGTTCCTTCTTTCACTGTTAAAGACATAAAACCAGTTGTAGGATGAAAGATTTTCAAAAGCTAGTACTTTTCTTTGAGGCTTATAGGATTACACGATTTTTTTTTTTCCTTTTAGGCCATTGCTTGTTATAAATTAATTTAGTATAATTAAAGTGTCAAAAGTTATGAACGTTACATTGACAATAACCATGGATATATGTGGATACCAATTATGGATACCAATTTCAATTGCATACTACACATGCCGCAAGTTTCCAAGGTTCTAGCCAGCCGTGTTTGGTAATTTAAAACATGACTAACAAAGACTCATAATTGCCATGTTAGCATGCCAGGATAAATATGACAAAATACACATAGGTTAAATACCAGCTATGTATACTCTTCATTAATTCACTGACCTGTGAATATTGATCAAAGGTGTATGAATTTCTAGGTTTTATTTATAGCATAACTTAGAAAGTATAAAATATGAAGATTGTTAAGTTCATATTTATAAAGTCTAAAATGATATTTTAAGTCTAAAATAAGATATGGTATCAAAAATTTATAAAATAGTTTTTGAAATATTAACACAGAACAGGTATTAAGAACCTGTAGTTCTACAGTGGCATTCAACCAAGTTGCTTCTATACAATGTAACAAGTTAGTTAAAAAAATCAAATAAATTTACTGTTAGGAGATGAAAGTTTACTCTTCCAATATCTCTCATTCTTCCATGTTTGTTGCTTTGATAGCCTGGGCAAACTGACTCAAACACTAGACAAGTACCTCAATTTGGTGAGGAGAAAATAACTATATAGATTCTAAAAATTATGACACTTCACTCTCAGTAACATTTGAAAATAAACCTGCTTCATCCAAAAAGAGTGCTCCAGTTCCACAGAGTTTCTACAAATCAAGAGCTTATTCATATAAATATATTTATTCAGTGGAAAAAAAAATTCTTATCTGTAAAAGTAATCAAACTAAAGTTGAATTTTCTTTTACAAACCTGAACAATAAGGAATGAAGCAACTTGGACTATAATCAAGCTTTTTCATGAATCGAATTTGCCCATTATCCTTGAGGCAAAAGAAGTTTCTTTCACCAAGCACAAAAACAGAAGACACTGCTTGATTAAAGGACACAACACGTATATCCAGTGCTTGTTCTCCAATGTTTAAAACCCAATCCACCTTCAAAAGAAAAAACATGCTCCAGAGATCAGTTGTCAGCTGCATATTAGAGACAGAACTTATAGACAAGGCTTACAACTCATCAAGTTACATGAATATTATTAACAGATAGAAAAGCAAAATCAAGGTCTTTTTTTGAAGGAGAAAAATATTAGTTACCCTCTTACTTTGAAGGTAGTTAATTACTTTCCTGATTGTGAGTAAAGCAGCAAAAACACTATCCACTTTTTGAAATAGTCATGGATTGACGGCTACAGAGTTCACTTAAGTATATTTAAATTTTACATATCCCATTCAAAATGAAAACACTTTATACTTTAACTATTATAAATACAAGAAGAGTATTAGAATCATTTAAATCTGCCTCTGTACAAGTCCTTAATATCTAAGGGCAATGTTAGAGAGCAAAAGGTGATAACTTATTCTTCCAATACATGTAAATGGAAAAATAGACAAAGTTTTAGGTGTGTAAACCAACATTCATGCTTGCAGTCACTAATGTACACCCTTCAATCTGAAGAACACTTGTGTATGTGATAGCTTGCCTACTTTCCCAACTACATATATTGACACAATAAACAACTACTTACAAATCCCTCCTTGCCTATATCTGTACATCTTCAAACAATACTATTGCTTATTGATATTTCATTGGTTTGTTATTTCAGCTCTTCTGAGAAATTCCAACTAACTCACACATGCAAAAATTGCTTCTGACTGCCGCCAAGCTGGTTAAACAGAAATTCAGAATTTCCGAAGTCAACAAATACCAAAGTTCAACTGTCAGCACTTCCTATATGAACAGCATCAATCATTTTGGTAAAAGAAAATAGAATGTGTTAGTAAACATACTGGCATATCTGATATGTGAAGCTGGAAGTGCCGTCTTAAAAGTCAAAGGGAACAAAAAGCCAGGCTTATTACATTGGTCTCCACGTATGCTTCTCATTTTAGGTTAAAAAAAAATGTATTTACTTTGCAGCATATCTGATGAAGTGTCAACCTTTCTTCTTTAAAAAATTACATCTTCTCCTAATTCAAAATGTAGGATTCTGACTGACTGACAGTTTGAAAAAGTTCTACGACTAGCCATTGGAAGAAAGATGCTCTCCCAGTATTTTACTATCATGCCTGAAATACGCTGAATCTTGCATTTTATGCAGTGAATTTAGCAGACAAGCAATTCTACTGCAGGACCACAGAGAATTAAATTCTCTGCTTATTAATAAGAGGTAGATCAAATATGAAATAACTTTGCCACAGGGACCTCCTGAAGACAATTAAATCCACAGATTTTTGACAAAAAGAGTCTAGGACTGACTATTTATGGAAACATTTTTCATCACTGAGTTTTCTCTAAGTACGAAGGACTCCCCAAGTAGAATGAGGTTAATTTTGTAAATTCAAAACAAAGTCACAGACTTAAATTAAAAACATGACCAATATTTCAAGTGTACCTATTTATCTACTTTACTACAGTTTAGGTTCTGTATTACAAAGACTGCCTTAGAAACAGTTATTTCTAGTACACAGCTCTCTTTTTTTTTTTCTCTCAGAACAATAGTGAGTTTTAAGGCCCAACCTTAAACAACTGAAGCCCAAAGAAATCTTAACTGAAATCTACTGGAGTCTTTCCACTGCCTTTAATGGCAACTGGATCAGGTCCTTTGTCAGCAGACAATGTTTCCATTTGTTACTTAGCATTGGTCTTTTTAACATGCATGCAGGGTACCATACAGGTTACGTAAAATAAACGGGTTTTACCACAAGTCTTTTTCCAGAACTAAGTTTTTGCTGTTCTGGTTCTTGTCTTTCATCAGCATCTGTCGCAAATGCCAGCACTTGGTATCTGTTATAGGAGGTTTTAAGAAGTAAAAGAAAAAAACAACACACATCTTTGTTGTTAATACCTTAAGTAAAAAATAAAATATAATTATATTATGAGTATACATTCACAGTAAAAGCACAGTCTAAAAGGATTGTTAGGAAGCCTACTGCAACGCATCTATCATCATCAAAGATATTAAAATAAATATCACTGTAGGATAACAGCTAAGTGTAAAGGCAGAAATTAAAACAAACATTTCTATTCAGATTTTATCTAGTGTTAAAATAAATTCAACAGCTAAATATATTAGATAGAAATCTAGACCACAAAGAAGACAGAGCAAGAAACCAATATATTTTCAAACTGTGAAATTAGGATTCTATTAAAAAATAAACTTTTTTGCTCTCATTAAGCTTTAAAAAAAAACCTCCTATACTATCCTGAAATACAATCTGCTACATCTAATAGTTACACTCTCAAGCACATCCATTAGGTAAACTGTTTCCAATCCAAGACATAACAGTAAACTGGCACCAGTAGTTGGCACATCTAGCAAAAGATGGGAGGTTTTGGGGTTTGAGGTTTTCTTATTATTTTGTAACTGCCAGCCAACCACACTAGGAAAAATTGTCAATTAAGGCATTTGAACAAAAGTTGTCAACTGCTATAAAAGCTCCACACACCTATCTGTCCTAAATTACACCTGTGCAATCCTCAGTTTTCAAACTGTGTCCTCACTGATTCTTCTGGAACTATTTCTTTCCTGAATTTGTGCTGGTGTCCTAACGTACTGAACTACCCTATTCCCGACGTAGCACATTAGATAATCTGTAAAATACTAAAGTTTGCTAGGAAAGCGAAATGACAAAAAAAAAAAAAAAAAAAACCCCAAAAAAAAAAACACAACACTTATGCAAAAGATAGCATTTGATTCTGTAAAGTCATGGAGTGCCATCAGCTCTCCATAATTATAATTTTATTAACTACTCCGGGACTAATACATAGTTTTCAAACCAAACCCCCATTGAACATATGTATTGATATTTACATACCAACTACCTGCATACGAATCCTTCACAACACAAAACTCTGGCCACAGATGACCAACACAAACTTCCAATTCAGCTATCACATCAAGTATAGAATCATTTAAATAAGAGACATTTTGCTTTTAGATCTTGAAAGAATTCAGAATCAACACAGGAAATATTGCTTTCAAACAAAGGCATTGGTCTGTATGAGCTATAGGAAGATGGATATGAGCTATGGAAGATGGCAACTTGTTCTGCTAAAAACACTGGCTAGAACTGCTTTTTTTTTTCTCTTACTATAATAAGAAAAAAACATGTTTAAAACAACCATAAAAATAACCTCTTCTCTCCTTACCATTTCTATTTCCTTCACTTTTGAAGGATTACTTAACCCTGTTCTAATGTCCTAATAGTTCAGACACACACCAGAGGCCAGTACCACAGTCTTAGCACTTGGCACTAAAGACCAATAACCAGACTCCAAGTGAAAAATTTCTTTAAAACTACACCCTCCTACAATAAAGACACCACACTTGTGAATCAGTGACAGACTGAAGAAAAATTTTAGCTACTTAATACAAACCCCTACTCGTCCCACTTCCTCTAAGGTATTATGAAAGCATCCCCCTTTGTCCACTTGACCCTATGCCCTATAGCATCACTTACACGCTGGATTTAGCGCCTATCCCTCATTCTAGTATTCAAGGAGGTTAAGAAGCCTCCTCTGCCACTTTGTCAGGTGGATTCCATCTCTTTCCCCAGCCCTCACTCCTTGGAGAGGATCCTATGCTCATAAAAGCCAAAGCCTTGTCTCAAATCTCTTCTGAAAACTGAACAGATTCATCAGACTGGCACCTATTTGCATCAACATAAAAGTCACGGTGAAACAACTGGATGGAACATCTTGCACAAGCAGCCTAGTGTAGACAACACTGAAAGCACAGATGAGATTGAACTGAAGCAGGGAAAAATCTGTCACTTGCAGGACAGCACGATGTGCCTTGATAAGCTAGTAAACTTAACACATTTATACAAATAAAATAGGACCATTAAGTCCTCAGGACACACGGTGTGCTTTCTTCTATGACTGTACAGAGACAGTAATCACTCAACAACATACAACATGTTGTTTTTCTTCTTTCTTGCAACTACCTATTATGTGCTTTGGTATACAATATTACTAAAGTCAATAAAAATTAGACATGATTATTTTTAATTTGCTTACGTACTAAATGATAGCACCAAAATATGCTATAATTACTGGGCACGAACACATACTTGTAACTCTCCACCTGTCGACAAGACGACACTGTAATGAAAGAATCTGTTCGAGAGCTGTAAGCCAAAGGACCAGGCAGAAGAAAACCAGGTAAAAAACGGCCAAAAGCATAGCTTTCCTGTTCAAACAACATGAGCATCCCATCCATGGACTGTATGCATATGAAAAACCCACCTAAAGAAAAAAAAAAGAAAAAAAATAGAAAGGAAATAAAGCAATGTTATTTATATAGTTTTAATCCTAAAATTGTTAGTAAATTGAAATTGCACTCATATGCAATCCTAACAAAATTAAGATTAATTTTAATTTACGTGAGTGTTTACTATGAGGAAGAACACTATTCCAACCTCAGCAAAAGCTTACTTAATAAAATAACTAGATTTTGGGGGTAATAACATTCAGAATATATTAAGAGCAAAAGAAGAGTTAGATATTTTATTTCAAACCATAATTCCTAAAGATATAACTATTATAATTTCAGTTTAAAGAAGTGTTTCAATACTCCCAAAACCCCAAATTATTCTGGTTCTTAAATGCCTTTATACCTTAGAAGCAGTCATAACAACTGTGGCTTAAAAATAACCTATTCTACCCTTTCAAGTCTACTTAAGCAACATAACAGAAAGACCTACAAATAAGCACTGTTGTGAAAATAATACAATGGTGAATTTTTCCTTATGTTTCTGTCTTCAAGGAAAGGAAAAACAGAACAGGCCCACTTCATGTTACCAATAAGACTAAAAAAAAATTAGCATTAAAAAATTCAGCTTGGAGTCACTACTTTAAGCCTCGTCCATTATTCATCAGCCTCAGACATGACTTGTCATGCCTCAAGTACACCAATCTAAATTCAGAGTCTCATTTGGAAGACTTCTGAGATCAGAACCTGATTATGCAGTTTGCTTTTCATATACAAGGGCAACAATTCAAACAAAGACTATTTTCCATGCATTCAAAGAGAGCTATACAAGCAAGACTAACATCTTCTGAAGTTGATAGAAGTGTCTCTCCTGAATTCAGAGATCAACCCCTATTTTGCAAACAAAACATTAAATACTTGTACTTCAAAATGCCTGTTCACCTCCATTAAAACGCTCCATTGCATCTCAGGAATTGTTCTATATGCATGAAGGACCCAAACAAATTGTCTGTTCACTAAGCTCCATCCTCAATCCTTTAAGAATTGTTTTCTAACACAGGAAAGTGAAGCAAAACAAAAATAGACTACAACTTCATTCTTACACTTAGATAAAGGTAAAAAAGATCAAAGAGATATTCAGTAGCTGAAAAAGCAACAAATGTATAGTGGAAAACATTGTTCATCTCCACCGTGATTCTTCATAGAAACTTTAACTACTTAATAAATAGCAGTGTAACAGGTCAGCATTACATCATGTTATACAACAAAATTTAGCTTAAGGCAAGAACAGAAGAAAAAAAAAAAGCAAAAGGAAGGTAAATCAGATGGGTCCTTTCCACTTGGCCCTCCCTCCTTCCTTTTTTCAGATTTTCCCATTTCCTAAAAATTAAGTTCCCCCATCCTTCTTTCAGGTTCTCCTCTATAATCCACTACATGTTCTGTAAACCCTGCTGCAAACATCAGCGATTTGATAGGATGGACATTTGAAAGTGTAATTCACGGTGTTCATTTGGTAGAGACAAAGCTGAATCCTTCAGTCTCTAGCAAAAAAAGTTAAAATACTCCAATTCTTCACATCAATGACCATGCAGATAGAACTGCAAGAAAAATTCAACAGTGTAATTTCAGGAACATTGATGGCATTTAAAGCACACAATCACAACACCTGTTTCTTCCCTTATGGTCTACATAGACCTTTTCTGAAAGCCTTAAAGGTCATTCTTATTTAGTGGAGTTTAGTAGGTTTTGTCTGTTTGAAAACTCCTAAAGTGCATACATTTTGAGGGATAACATTAACTGACAATATCAAACACTTAAACTTTGCTTTAGCAAGGTAGTAATAGCATTTCCAAATGACAAATTAATAAATTAAAATATATTAAAAATATAGAAAAAATTTTATCCACCATTGGAAAAATCTCTTCTTCCTTATATTAAACATGAGAAGGACTCTGTAAATCAAGAATCCTTGATGGTTTCAAAAAGAAACTTTGCTAAGAAACAATGAAAAGTCTTCTTCCTAAGCTGAAGAATACCAGAATCTGTACTAACAAACTAACATGTTATAAAGCAATTCAACACTGAAATCCTTAAAGTACTGTTCAAAAGGAGTCAGCCTGAGATTTTGCTTGGTACTGAAGTCAAACCAATATCTCTTTGTCTTTTTTCCACTACTACAAGTGAGAAAATTTAAATACATCATCTTTATAGCAGCTCATTAAACCAGTGACCATTTGTCACTAGTAACATCACTTTTATTATTTAAGTCTCAAAAGTTTAATCTCTAACATTTTGAAGTTTGCACCACTACACTGGAAACTTAAAACATTTTAAATGTTTCCTCTTGTATATGCAGATTAAAGTCATATAACTTTCTACGAAATGTAAACTCTTTACCCCTGTTAACAGCAAAAGTCAATGAAGAAATGTTTCCTGTGACTAAACACAATCATTTTTGTGAGAATTATGGGTTTGACATAGATCTCCAAAAGCATTTTCTAAACGGGCCAATTGTTTTAGAGCTATGATTTCCCCAGGATTTTCCACACAGACTTTTTAAATTATAAAGCACAGTCTAGGGCTTCTGTTCAATCTTAGAATTTATTGTTTATAAAAGTAGAAACATATTCTACAGTATACAAACACATTGGGCATGCATATATACACATACCTCTTAAATGTGCATAACTAGTACATTTCCTCTGAAATCATCTGGATAAAGCAGCTTTACTAAGTCTTATAAGAATCATTTACCCTCCTAAATATTCTTCATAGGACAGATTCCAGAATTGTTTGATTTATTCTTAACTTGTAGCTGCCATTCTGCACCTGAAATATGTGGTATTCAAGAGATTGCAGAGACTACTGATCATAGTCAGAGTGAACATTTGGTTTGCTGCTTCTACTGAGTCTCTCAAGTACTAGCCAAGAACACTGCAATTACTTTATTAATGTACAATACAGAAATTAGTGAGAGCGATCTTTAAATAAGTACCTTATATGTTTCAATTAAAAAATAAAACAAGATGCACATGCGAATTTGCAAGTTATTTAATATTAATGTTCTTACAATTCTGAATGTCCTGCTTTTCATTACTAACACTTGACACTATCAACTATTAGTAGTGTAAATAAAAAAAAAGTATTCATAAAAGAATTGTAGCAACTACAAAAGTTCAAAGAGTACCACTTGCAGTACACTAAGGCTGTAAGTAGATAAAGGAGTGAAACCAAGCTAATGCTTTGCTACTGCTGGCATGGAATGGACGAATCCTGTGGGCTAACAACTGCTTGCACAGCAGCTATCTGCAGCAGAGCTCAGTTTTAAGACCATGTGACCCTCTTTGAGGACTGACAACTGTTTGGAAGACAAAGGATCCTCCGACTAAATCCACCTAAAATATCTTTGCGAACAGGCTTGCCAACTCAGCAAGAGCAATTTTAAACTAGGATAGACAGGGGAGGAGACTTTACAACAGTCAAGTGAGGGAGTGGCAGATGGGGTAGGCAAGCAAAAGGCCCCAGGATGATGTGAATCAAAGGGACACAGCAATCAAAAAAACAGAGCAGAAGCGGAACCACCTCAAGCACAGGAATTCAAGGAAGGAAGTGCTCATGGAACAGCAGCCTTATTGAGAAAGCTCTCACGGCCTTTTAGAATGTTGCTCTGAAATGCCTCTACAGTAATGCCCATAGTGTGGGGAAAACAGGAGGAATCACAGAATCTTAGAAAGGTTTGGGCTGAAAGGGACCTTTAGAGATCATCTAGTTCCAAGCCCCCTGTAAAGTAAAAGACATTTAATTGTAAAGTGAATGCCCTTACTAACACTGAAATCTTGTGTATTTTGTTATAAAATTAAATTTCAGATACTTCTGGTTATACTGATGGTAGTGAGAAAGCTATCTTTCAGACAGCTTCTGACCACAACCTTCAGGGTTTAAACTGGTCTAAAATATACAAAAATTAGTTATTAATTTCTAGTCTTCTGCTGACATTTAAAGTCAAACACTATAGCTGATACACTTGATATGCAGGGGTAACCTAGTAGACATATTACAACGCAAGCAACAGAAAAAAAGTAAACGAAGTAGAAGTTCTGAGTTGCTACTGCTGAAGTAACAAGTAGTAATAGCTTCTGCTCTCATGCATATTATGAATATCAGTCTTATTCTTACCAGTTCCGTTACATCATGAAAATGATGACTAGAAAAACTATAGCACCTTCTGCAATATACACAAAGCTACATGTTATATCAGACATGGAAGCATTCATCTTTAACATTCATAATCTCTAATCGCACACAAATATTATTGTTAAAATATCTTCTGTTTTAACGGTAGTGACATGATTGAATATGACATGACCTAATCTAACAAGTCCTTTACAGCACTCCAGTGATCTCCAAGCATACTGCACTACTGAACCATACTGCCTGAAGAAACAAATACAAGGCACCTAAGACCGAATCAGTAATCACTCTTCCTGCCTTAAAGAGCAGGAAGCATCACTTCTTAATATACCTACCACTTTGTTCATCATATTTGTGTTGTTCCTACTCACTAATTTTCAAATTTGGATTTGAATTAGCTTGTACTAGTGGATCAAACTCCAATTATCCAAACTATCACATGCAAAGCATTATTAAAAAAAATTGTGTATGAACTCTTAGTTCCCAGCTTTTTATAGGTCAACTTATTTCCTTTGGCCATTTGTTTTTAATGTGTAGCTAGTGAATGGAGTTTTTATGTTTCACTTTAAGAAATAAAGTCTTCCAAAAACTCAGCCAGAAATGTCCATTTCAAAAAAGCTTATTGCAGCCAATTGGCTTTGCCAGTGACATATTTATAAAGTGAAAATATAACCCATAGTGTTCTCTGAAGATCAGATGGAATCACTTAGTGTACTCTACATAGTTTCAGCAGCTTGTGTCTCAAGAGGAATGTCCCTCAGCCAGAAAGTGTTACTTTTAAGCACAAGTCCAGCTACCGTTGTTTTGTAGTTTTGTTATTCTAGCACGATATGAATACATTTAC